GGGATAATGGGATGGGATGCGGTGCGAGTGCGGATGGATGGGATGCATGCGAATGGCGATATATGGATGGATGCATGCATGGCATGGATGCATGGATAGATACATAGGTTTGGGGGTATATAGTTAGATTTTTTGCGTATTTTCCTTTTAACAGCCGTCACCAGCCTGCAGTAACGCCACTGCATTTCCCGGGCCAAACGCGGACGTATCCCAGCTAGTATATATTACTAATAGATAGTTATATATAATATATATATATATATAATATATATATAATATATATTAGAGAGAGAAGAGAGAGAGAGAGAGATGAGAGAGACGAGAGAGAGGCAGAAGAGAGAGAGAAGCAGCAGAGATGAGAAGGGAGAAGAGAGAGAAGAGAGAGAGAAGTAAAAACACCGAACACCCATGTAGATATGAAAACAAATGCTAGAAGAGCATAGAACATGGTGTGAATTTCTAGCATATAAAGTTAAGAATATATAGATATCAATGCTAGATTTTATGGCCTTATGAAGAGAGATAATTCTCGAAAAGCTTGGCGGCTTGGATTAACATTAACACCCTATTATATTTTTTCAAACATTTATATATATATTATTACTATAATTATATAATATATATTATTATATATATATATATATATATATATAATAAGTGTAGTACGTGGCCTACCTTGCCAAGACTACCAACTCCCTTGATTAGAACAAGAAATACTATGAACCAAGCTGCTGCAAGCGAACCAACAAGCACTGGCTGCATTCCACCAGGATCATCTATCCCATCAGAGATATCAAGCACTTTTTTGCTGAAAAGATAAATTAGGCCTACATCGAATTTTGCTCATGGGCTGCCACCTAAAATAACAGCAGTAAAATATGCGAATCTTATATCGTCATATGCATGATTTCATATGCGTTATAATGCTTAATACGGCTTTAGATGGAACGTATATAAGAGTATTAGATAACCTACATATAGAAGAGTATAAATGCTATCAACACTAGCTCCTTAATAACTAATACATTATTAATGCAGGTACGGGAAATACAAAAGAGATATTTAATGTTTTTATTGCGTCATTATATTCGTATATCACCGAGTACGTCTAATGCAAGACGCCTCAAACAGAATCGAAATCAACCGAAAAATACTATGATATCGATTGTATATTATTAAAAAAATGTATCGGTACGTTATCTGCCACTGCCAGCAAAGAAACTACGTAAGTAAAATGAGGACGACGTATGGATCGGTGAGAAGATATTTCATTTTGCGATTTAGATCGCGCTACGAATACGTACTAGAAGTATTCTTCGGATGGTGTGTAGAATGTTGTGTTCTCTTCACCGGTGCTGTTAGATATGCACACGTCGGAGTTCCAATCGTTGTTGCAGTCGGACCACGGCAGTTCGCTCGTCATCGATGAGATCATATAGACGAGACAGTAGGCGACAATGACGTTGTAGTAAAGGCCTATGAGCGCTGACACGAACACCGATGCCACGCCGATACCTACCGACATACGCCAATCAATGGAAATGAATATATATATTTATTTATTTATTTATTTATTTATATGCTTATTAATTTCTTGTTATTATATATACATATATATAAAAACAAAGTCAAGAAATAGGTAAAGGGTGTTTAAATTTTAATCAGCGAGATTTCGAGACGTGCATCTCTTCCTCAGGCTTTCAGCTGACATTCATATTCTTGACATTCATTCATTTTTACTTATATATATATAATATCAAGAGCGAGACCTTCTTTATCTGCTCTTGATAATATATATAATATATATATATAATATATATATAGCAGGCCCGTAGCCAGAGGGGGTTCGGGGGGTTCGAACCGAACCCCCCCCCCGAGCCCCTCCCCCCAAGCCTAAAAATATTTTTTTTTTTTTAATTTGCAAGAATTTCATNTCTCTCTCTCTTCCCTTCTCCCTGTCTCACCTTCTCTCTTCTGCTTCTATCTCTCTCTCCCTGGCCTCTCCCTTCTCTCTCTCTCTCTCTCTCTCTCTCTCTCTCTCTCTCTCGGCAAATTCGACTGCTCTCTCTCTCTCTCTCGCTCCTTGCCTCCCCCTTCTCTCTCTCGCGTGCTCAACTCTTCATTCTCCCTGCCTCCCCCATTCTGCCTCTGCCTCTTCTCTCTCTCCCTGCCTCCCCCTTCTCTTTCTTTCTCGCTTACTCGCTCTCTCTCTGCCTCCCCCTTCGCTCTCTCTCCCTCTCTCTCTCCTTGCCTCCCTTCTCTCTCCCTCTCTCTCTCTATGCTCCCCCTTCTTTCTCTCTCTTTCTCTCTCTCTCTCTCCCTCGATCTCCCTGCCTCCCCTTCTCTCTCGCGCTCTCTCTCTCCCTGCCTCCCCCTTCTCCGTCTCTCCTCTTTCTCTCTCCTCTCGTCCTCTCTCTCTTTCTCTTTCTCTGTGTCTAATAACCACTCTCTGTGTCTCTCTGTGTCAGTATAATTTTTACTGCGGTAATGCGTAATCACACGAATTGACTAGTAATATCATAGTTCTGTCCCTACACACTTCCATAGTACTATGTTGTATATTATATGTAACTCGGAGCGAGCTGCAGCCGGATATCGCGGCGAAGGCGCGCAAACGCCGCGCAAAGCCGCGTAGTGACAATAAAATCTTATTCGATGCCCTATGTAGAAAAATATCGCCAGTGCCCTTTGCGGTACAGATAAAGCTGTATAATCGGTCAATTTTGAGGAGTTCTGGCGTTTCCCACAAGGCCTTTCGACTTATGACGTACGTCGAGAATAAATCAAATGGTGGTAATTGCTCGTTTTACTAGGTCGGTGCATTTCTTTTCGTCTAGAAAAGCGGGTTTGCATTTTCTTCCGTTTCACGCCCTGAATTTTTCTCGTACATATCGCGTCCCATAGATGGCGCGAACGAGGCCCGTTACACGAGGGATTTTCCAGAGTATTTTTTCCACACAAGGATCGGCGATCAGCTCTAGACTGCCGCACGGTGGGAGAGTTCACACGACCTGCACTAACTATAACTTTAGTGTTAGCGAAAGATACTTTACCCCGTCATACAAATACATATATATGTGCATGGCTTGGGCACCAGCAACACTAATATTAACAATACTATATAGGTGGCCTTAGCGCGCGCTGTCATACAAAAATAACGTTGGTGAGTGTTAGCGCTGGCGCAATATTCACCAGAGGAGTTATATTTTGTGATATATATTTTTTAAAATTGTTTAGGGGATATCCTCAGCCATAGACTTTCCCTAATAAACAAGCTATCAGTAGACCTGTGTTTCTACTTAGGAAAGCGCCCTAGCAGTAGGGTACAAAACACCTATTTCTTTACCCTCCGCATCCTTCCCCCTTGCCTCCCCTGATTCCTCGCTCAGCCTTCTACACTGCCCCCAGCTATCGTCCCCTGTCGCCTGTTCAGTCTCCCATCCCCGCTTCCCCCTTAGGAAATCTATATTATTATGAGTTTTCCTCAGACGGCAGCCACACGCCTAACAAGGTGCAACGCGCATTGCGCATATCTCCGAGAGCATCGTATTTTGCAAAGATTATGCATCTAAAATAAAGAAGATTATCCTAGCCGCAATGATTTATATGATCAACATTCTTATCAGTTGACATCATTTAAGAAATTCGCAGGAAGGACCTTGCATGAAGGGACCGCTGCCTATTACCAACCTGTACACAATCTGCGTTAAGTTAGTGTCGTTAGCGCTGCGCACAATATCTCACCAGAGGAGGTATATTTTTGTGATCAATATGCATTTAAAAATGAGTTTTGGGATATCTCAGCATAGATTTCCCTAAAAACGTTTATAGTAGGTCTGTTGTTATATAATCAGGAGACGCGCCCTAGCATGAAGGCGTTACAAAACACCTATTTTTATGCCCTCGCGTCCTTTCCCCTTGCCTCCCCTATCCCTCGCTCAGCCTCCTTCTACCGCCCCCAGCTATCTTTCCTGCACGCTTTCCTCAGTTCTCCATCCCCGCCTCCCCCTCAGAAGCTATATTATGAAGTTGTTCCTCGGACTGCACTGGCAGCTAACAAGTGTTGCCGACGTATGCGCAATATCTCCGAGAGCAATCGGTATTTTGACAAAGATCATGCATTTAAAATGAAGGGAGTTATCTAGCATAGATTTATATTTGATAACATTCCATCAGTTAATCATTAAGAAATGCAAGAGGGACTTGCATGTAGGTCCCCCGCTGCGATATACCAGCCAGTACATAAAATTCTGGCCTTACGTTAGTGTGTTAGCACAGCATGGCAATATCTCCCGGAGGAGTTATGTTTTTGTGATTGATATGCATTAAAAATGGTTAGGGGGTATCTCAACATAGATTTCCTTAATAAACTTTTATCAGTAGACCTCTGTCTATATTGAGGAGAGCGCCCTAGCATGTAAGGTACAAAACACCAACTTTATGCCCTCGAGCCCTTCCCCTTGATTCCGCTGTCCTTCGCTCAGCCTCCTTCTTCTACCGTCCCCAGCTATCTTTCCTGTCGCTTTTCCTCAGTCTTCCATCTCCTCTTCCCATCAGCAAGCTATATTATGAAGTTTCCCTTAGGCGGCAATTTTTTCCCACGAGAGTTCCGCACCACAGCCAATCAGCGCACTCCATTCACTCGACTTCCTCGAAGCAACAATGTAAAAATGAATACACCATAACCCTACCCTACACTATTATAATCAACATATATATACGAACCATATATTACAAAACACTATCTATGGTGGGTCCGGAACTCTAATGGGAAAAAAAAATTTGCGGCCGGGGGAGACATGCATTTATACCCTCCTCCTACTCCTCCTCCTCCTCCTCCTCCTCCTCCCCCTCCTCACATGAAGATGCCAACCTACAGATAAACGACTGCGACATGACGCGCGGTGTTGAAAGAAGGGAGAGGGATGAAAGAGGGGGAGGGGTGAAAGAGGAGGAGGGGTGAAAGAGGGGGAGGGGTAAAAGAGGGGGAGGGGTGAAAGAGGAAGGGGGTGCAAGGGGGGGAGGCGTGAAAGAAGGGGGAGGGGTGCGGAGAGGGAGTGAAGATGGGAGAGGCGTGAACAAAGGGGGAGGGCGTGAAAGCTGGGAGGGGTTTTGAAAAGGTGAGAGGAGTGAAAGAGGGGGAGGGGTTGATGAAGAAGAAGAGGGCTTGCAAGAGGGGGAGGGCATCCCTGTGAAAGAGGGAGAGGGGTGAAAGAGGGGGAGGGGTGAAAGAGGGAGGGGTGAAAGAGGGGGAGGGGTGAAAGAGGGGGAGGGGTGAAAGAATGGGAGGGATGAAAGAGGGGGAGGGGTGAAAGAAGAGGTGGGGTATACGTTAAGTGTGAGGACGAGGTATATGGCCGGGGAGCCGTGAATGAGAAGCACGATATATATGGTGAGAGAAGAAGTGAGGTGAGCGGTGGGTGGGAGATGGCTAGAGAGCGAAGGGTGGGAGCGGGTAAGATAGGAGAGGACGAATCAGGAGGGTGGTGGGTGGGTGGGGTGATGGAGTCGGATGTGCATATGATGGGTGTATGTATGTATATAATCTACATGGGTAGGAGAGATGGACGGGGTGACGAGGGGTTGGGTGCTACTTCCTGTACACTGTACAGACTAGTACGCATGTGATGATATACGCGTGGGGGAAAGCATGGTGTTGCGTACGGGGTAGGCGTGCACTAGTCGAGTGACCTGCTTAGATAGAGGCGAGGTCCGCAAGGATGCTGAGCGGCGCCAGGGCTGCGTGCGTGCGTGCGTTTACAGATAGCGTCATCGGCGTGACAGCCGGAGTGACAGCTGCTGATGAAGCCATTGAAATGCGCTCAGCAGGAACACACGCACACACACACGCACGCACGCACGCACGCACGCACACTCGCACGCGCACACATACACACACAAGCGCACGCACGCACACTCGCACGCGCACACATACACACACGCACGCACGCACACGCGCGGACACACACACACTCGCACGCGCGCGCACACACACACACACATGCACGGCGCCGCAACACACACGCACGCACACGCACAGCACGCACTGCACGCATGACGCACACCACGCACGCACACACACACACACACGCACGGACACACGCGCGCACGCACGCACGCACTCACGCACGCGCGCGCGCACACACACACACAAACTCACTCCAGACTTCAGACGAAGCTGTACATGCCTCCTGGCGAACACAATTAGGCGAAGACGTTTAGTTTCACGATGCCACCTAACATACCTTACAGCTACAAGATGTTTTCAGCTTCTACGCCGAAACCCTTCAACCTCGCTCACGTCTCCAATTGCTCCACGACGCTCAGCTTCCCTACTGAAACCCTCTAGATTCAGTCAGGTACCTAACCTACATGCGATGCTCAGCTTCCCTACTGAAACCCATCTAGATTCAAGTCACGGTACCTAACCTACACGCGAATGCTCAAGCTTCCTACTGAAACCCTCTAGATTCGTCAGTACTAAACCACACGCGATGCTCGCTTCCCTACTGAACCCTCCTAGATTCAGCTCAGGTACCTAACCTACACGCGATTGCTTCAGCTTTCACCTATCTGAAACCCTCTGATTCAGTCAGGTACCTAACCCCAACACGCGATGCTCAGCTCCCTACATGAAGCTCTCTTAGATTCCAGTCAGGTACCTACCCACAACGCGATGCTCAGGCTTCCCTACTGAAACCCTCTAGCTTCAGTCAGGTACCTAACCCACACGCGATGCTCAGCTTCCCTACTGAAACCCTCTAGCTTCAGTCAGGTACCTAAACTACACGCGATGCTCAGAATCCCTACTGAAACCCTCTAGATTCAGTCAGGTACATAATCTACACGCAATGCTCAGCTTCCCTACTGAAACCCTCTAGATTCAGCCAGGTACCTAAACTACACGCGATGCTCAGCTTCCCTACTGAAACCCTCTAGATTCAGTCAGGTACCTAACCCACACGCAATGCTCAGCTTCCCTACTGAAACCCTCTAGATTCAGTCAGGTACCTAATCTACACGCGATGCTCAGCTTTCATACTGAAACCCTCTAGATTCAGTCAGGTACCTAACCCACACGCAATGCTCAGCTTCCCTACTGAAACCCTCTAGATTCAGTCAGGTACCTAATCTACACGCGNATGCTCAGCTTCCCTACTGAAACCCTCTAGATTCAGTCAGGTACCTAACCTACACGCGATGCTCAGCTTCCCTACTGAAACCCTCTAGATTCAGTCAGGTACCTAACCCACACGCGATGCTCAGCTTCCCTACTGAAACCCTCTAGATTCAGTCAGGTACCTAACCTACACGCGATGCTCGGGTTTTAGTAGGGTAGCTTACCTGACTGAATCTAGAAGCTGAGCATTGCGTGTAGGTTAGGTCCCTATTGAAATCCTCTAGATTCAGTCAGGTACCTAATCTACACGCAATGCTCAGCTACCCTACTAAAACCCTCTAGATTCAGTCAGGTACCTAACCTACACGCAATGCTCAGTTTCCCTACTGAAACCCTCTAGATTCAGTCAGGTACCTAATCTACACGCGATGCTCAGCTTCCCTACTGAAACTCTCTAGATTCAGTCAGGTACCTAACCTACACGTGATGTTCAGCTTCCCTATTGAAACCCTCTAGATTCAGTCAGGTATCTCACCTACATGCGATGCTCAGCTTCCCAACTGAAGCCCTTTACATCGTCGCCGCCGACCTCCGCCAGGCAGCTTGCAGCTTCCGTCTAAGCTAAAAGCCTTGGCTTGCAGCATCGACATATCGGAGGAGGGGTGGTGAGGGGGGGGGTTAGCAACGTTAATTAACCACTGGTAATTTCTCCCAAATTACCGCCACTGATGCGAGGGTAATCGTGTGTGTCGTGAGTGCGTGCGTGCGTGCGTGCGTGCGTGCGTGTACGTAATGTGCGCCTATAGTAATGGCAGGCACACACGCGCGCGGGCGNTCGCGCACACACACAACACTCGCACCGCGCCAGCGACACATCAACACACACATGCACGCGCGCATCCACACACGGCACGCACCACGCACCGCACGCACGCACGGCATCGACGCACACAACGCACAAGTAAGCAAAGTTAATTCAACAACAGACACCGCTACTGGAACACGCGCTGCCAAACTCGCAACCAGAGCAACAGACATCACCACTGCGCGACCCGCACAACACACACTACAACTCACTCCAGACTTCAGACGAAGCCTGTACATGCCTCCTGGCGAACACAATTAGCGAAGATTTATTTCACGATTGCCTAGCCCTAACATACCTTAACACGCTACAAGATGTTTTCATGGCTTCTACCCGAAACCCTTCAAACCTCGCGGCCCCTTCACGTCTGCCAATTGCTCCACGGACGCTCAGCTTTCCCTACTGAATACCCTCTAGATTTCAGTCAGGTAACCTAACCTACATTGGCGATGCTTCCAGCTCTCGCTACTGAAACGCCTCTACGTATTCAGTCAGGTTCACCTAACCTACACGCGATGCTCAGCTTCCTATCTGAACAGCCTCTATGATCAGTCAGGTACCTAACCTACACGCGAATGCTCAGCTTCCGTCTACTGAAACCCTCTAGATTCAGTCCAGGTACCTATACCTACACGCGATGCTTCCAGCTTCCTTACTGAAACCCTCTAGATTCACTCAGGTACCTAAACGCCACACGCTAATGCTCAGCTTCCCTAGCTGAAACGCCTCTAAGATTCAGTCAGGTACCTAAACTCACAACACGCGATGGCTCAGCTCCCCTAACTAGAAACCCTCTACAGATTTAGTCGGTTACTTTAAACTGCACGCGGATGCTTCAGGCTTCCCTACTAAAAACGCCTCTAGATTCAGTCAGGTACGCTAACCTTACACGCGATGCTCAAGCTTCCCATACTGAAGACCCTCTAGATTCCACTCAGGTACCCTAACCTACGACGCGATGTCCTCAGCTTCGCCTACTGAGAACCCTCTAGATTTCAGTCCAGGTACCTAACCTACACAACGAGTGTCTCAGCTTCCCTACTGACGCCTCTAGATTCACTCAGGTACCTAACCCACCCCGATACTCAGACCATTCCCTACTGACAACCTCTAGATTTCCAGTTCAGGTACCTAACCTATCACGCGATGCTCACTACGCGCTAATGAAAACTCCTCTAGATTCAGTCAGGTACCACTAACCTACACCAAATGCTCCAGCTACCTACTAAAACCTCTCTTAGAATCAAGTCAGGTACCTAACCTACCACGATGCTCAGCTACCCTACTAAAACCCTCTAGATTTACAGTCAGGTAACCTAACCTAACACGCAATGCTCAGCTACCGCTATCTAAAACCTCAGATTCAGTCAGGTACCTAACCTACACGCAATGCTCAGCTTCCCTATTGGAAATCCTCTAGATTCAGTCAGGTAGCCTAATCTACAACGCAATGCTGTCAAGCTACCCTACTAAAACCCATCTAGAACTTCAGTCAGGTACCCTAACCTACACGCAAATGCCTCAAAGGCCCCTACTGAACCTCTAGATCAGTCAGGTACCTAATCTATCACGCGATGCTCAGTCATTCGCTACTGTAAACTCTCTAGATTGCAGTCAGGTCGTACACCTAAACACGTGATGTTCAGCTTCCCTTATTGACCCCTCTAGATTCAGTCAGGTATCTCTACGACTAACATGCGATTGGCTCAGCTTCCACTGAAAGCCCTTTATCATTCGTCGCCGCCGACCTCCGCCAGGCAGCTTGTCAGGCTTCCGTTCTAGAGCTAAAAGCCTTGGCTTGCAGCATTCGTACAATATCGGAGAGGGGTGGTGAGGGGGGGGTTTACTAACGTTTAATTAATTAACCCACTGGTAATTTTCTTCCCCAAATTACCGACTGATGCCGAGGGTTAATTCGTGTGTGTCTCGTGAGTGCGTGCGTGCGTGCGTGCGTGCGTGTTTACGTTAATGTGCGCCCCCATATAATAATGGCAGCACACACGCGCGCGGCGCTCTTATTTAGATCGACAGGTGGCCAAACGTTTAGGTGGTGGCATAATCGTTTATTTTGCAAAATTTATGGCCTTTAAAATGAAGAGGAGTTATCCTACATTAGATTTAATATGAATAACATCTCCACCAGTAATATCATTTAAGAAATACGAAGGAAAAGACGCTTGCATGTAAGGTCCCTGCTGGTATACACCAAAGGCCAGTTACACAATCCTGGCTACGTTAGTGTGTAAATAGCGCAATGCGCAATATCTGCACCAAGAGGAGGTTATATTTTGTGATGTAATATGCATTTAAAATGGTTTTGGGATATCTTCAAGCATGATTTCCTTAATAAACTTTATCAGTAGACCTCTGGCCTATATTCAGAGAGAGCGCCCATAGCATATAAGGTACAAATCACCTACTTTTTGGGCCCTTGCGTCTTCCCTTGCCCCCCGACTGTCCCTGCGCTCAGCTCCTTCTTCTTCTACGGCCTCTCAGCTATCTTTCCTGCCGCCTTTCCTCAGTCCCCTCTCTTCTCCTGCCCCCCTCAGGCAAGCTATAATATGAGATCTATGGCATAACCGAATGGCGAGCGTCAATTACAATTATCTGACCTTGCATGGAATATAGGATGTTGATACATGTTTAAATTCATTTTCTATGAACTTATCTAATAAAGTAGAGACATAATATATTAACTTATATAAGTTCCGATAGGTGGCGCGGTCAAAGATGTTTGTTATTGTAGCGGTCAAGGGTCTACCGAGATCCCGTGACCCGCGTCCTAAGGTGATTCAAGTATAACTGGTAGGGTTCACCTGCGGTCTACGTGACTGCGTTGCCGAGATGTTATGGTGGCCTCGAACCCCTGGATCTTAACAGGGATGGTACCTTGGGGGAGCCACACGTGACGGCAATTATGGTAAATATAAGCTGGCTGTCCTCGTAGCGAAAGTTGTGCTTCTGGTTTTTCTTAGGCCACGGCTCCATAGTACCACAACGCGAGGGTTATCAACCGAGTGGTAAGATGTACGTACGTTCACGTTTCATTCCCCGACTCACCCTCTGCCTGGTGCTTGCTGACGGCTTGACCGTCCCTGCACGCAGACACGTTGAATCTGCGGGCCGTATTATGTTGATAGTATTTATATGCTGTGTTTGCTGCTTTCTGGGCATTCAGCCCAAGTTTGTGTGATCGTTTATAGGCTACCGGCCTGTTTGTCGGTATGCTAATAAAAGCACTCGTTCATTCCCGTTTTGAATAGCCAAGAACATGGTGTCGTGTCATCTGTGTCACTGCTTGTGTCGCAGCGACTGGATCCATGATCAAAACCTGTAAGCGGGCAGCATGAAGGCCGTGACTGGCCCAAAATACGTCACAGTGTGTTGGCGCGTATCAGGATCCACGCAAGAGAGCGAGGGCAGGAGAACAGCCCCGGTGCTGGTTTTCTGCTGAATCAGGCAGTAATCAGTAACCACCAACTCCCGACAGGGTCGTGTTGGCTTGTGCCCCAGGCAAACATGTCCCCATGTCCGGGCCAGTAGGCAGGCGAAGGGCTGGTGTCAATCGCCAGCACCCGGCTGTGGCTGGAGGGCTACGAGGACCCCTAATGCTGCGGTGGCCTAGCGTACGCCTGCCGCCACTGCGCCAAAACGTCCTGCAACCTAAAAAAGACACCGTCGCAGTGTCCCCCTTTCCGACGAAGGAGGATGTCCTTGGCCTCTGCTTGCCCGTAGATGGTTCTACCCGGCAGGAGATAAGTGCCAAGGCCTCTCAAGTCCCGGTGGTAAGCCGGGCTCCTCGGGATTGGGATGGCGGAGTAGCTGGGGGACTAGGGCTGGTGGGTGCATTGCCTGACCATCGTGTGGGAGGCCAGCCGGAGACCATGTGTTTTCCGGTCGGGAGCCATGAGTCCCACGCCCATCGCTTGGCGATGGTGAATGGTGTCTCCCATTTTGAACTTGTCCCAAGACGGCCGGACGTTTGTGGGTGTGGACGGCCGAAGGCCGAGTCGTTCGCGCCACCGTGCCCCAGCACGTCTACCCCTTGGGCAAGTTTGATGGGTCGAGCAACGAATTGCCCTGACGAGGGGCGACGGGGGTATCAACCCGTCAACTCTGTCCCCGGGAGTGGGCCGGAAATGGAAATCCAGTTGGAGGCGCGAAGGCCTGCTTGGGCATACCATGCAGCAGGCCCCGATGAGATTGCGCACATTCTCTGGTCAAGGGGCAGATCCATTAGATGCGTTCTTCTGGCATTTTGACATCGTGGCACGTCACAATGGCTGGACTGCCGGCGAGCGAGCCGCACATCTGGCTGGTGCTCTGGATTACCCGGCGTCCGCCATTCTGTACGAATGCACTGATAAATTTTTCGAGGAAGAAATTTGCTGGGCGCTGACGTCTAGGCTGCGTCTCCGTCTCGATGAGCGGATGAAACGGCCGACTGAGAGCTGGACTGAGTTTGCACGAGACTTGGAACAGCTGGTCGGTAGGGTTGAGCTTGAACTCTCCCGGTTGCAATGCAGCAGACGTGCACGCTGGCTGGTGCTCCGTGCGATTACGGACGCTGCCCAGAAAATCTATGTGATGGACAGAGATGATCGCACTGCGGAGTGCACGGCATGGGCCGCTGATCAATATGAGTTGATTATGAGGTCAATTCGAGGATCCGTCTCTCGTAAACCGAAAGCTCGTCCGGTAGCTACCGCACGGGCACCGATGGGGAATGATCTCCCTCAGCCTGGGAAGGAACAAACCCCATCTGAAGGCACAGTAATCAAAGCTTCAGAGTCCCAGCTGTTTGCTGCGGCTTTGAAGGAGATTACTACCCTAGTACAGACACTGATGGCGAGGGACGCTAAAGGCACACCACACAGTGCCGCTGGAAAGGGTCAGCGGGCAGACGGTAAGGCAGTGCAGTGTTACAACTGCCGCCGATACGGGCATATCTCCCGTCACTCCCCTGCCCGTACCGTTGAGCTAAAGTCGGGAGCTCTGCCATGCTCTCGCGAGGGTCAGCCACGCCGGTGAACCCGGTCCTTGGATAAGAGCTCGGTAAGCGAGTAGTGGTCAGCCCATGTGCACCACCACATCCAGTACACAGTCGTTCTGGGCTGCGGCCTGCCCAGGTGACGAGCTATCGGCTCCAACCTCGGCTGCGAGCTGCCTGGCTGCTTCCAGTGTCCACTGTGGTCAAATGATTGACTTCACAGTGGACACTGGCGCAGAAATTTCGTTACTGGATCGGGCATCCTACCTCTCGTTACCCCCGTGTAGGCCTGGCCTGCAGGAAACGGAAGCGATGTTGGTGGATGCTCAGGGAAATGATATCCCTGCGGTGGGGGGAATGTGCACGGACCTGGCCATCCACGGTAGGCAGTATATCTACAACCTGCTCGTTGTGAAGTCGAGTCTTCGCGGAGGGTTGCTCGAACTGGATTTCATGTGTGACCGAGGGTGTCAGCTGGATGTGACCGGAGGGCATCTGCCCATTGACAATGTCATGCACATGCTGCATGAGAAGAATGGGTTGCAGAGGCGGGTGCTGCGGGCAGCATGCCGCACGGTACTTGCCCCGAACCACGGTGCTGTGGTAATGGGTGAATTTGCCAAGGATCTCTGGCCCAGAGACATGCTAGAGACATGAAGTTCCGGGAGAGTTACAGAGGAAGTGGAGCTCTCATGGCCCGATGTCTGGTAGACACCAGCAGGCATGACGTTCCCCTCTCTGTTGTCAACTCGAGGGAAACGGAGCTGGTCATCAATCCTGGTACCGAACTAGCTTGGCTGGAACCGGTCACGCAGGTTGCTCTGGCAGAAGTCCGAATTGACTCAAAAGTTGAGGTTGAGAACAAAGAGACTGAGGTCCCGGGTCATCTTCAACCCCTGTTAGATGGGGTGGATGAATCTCTGACCCACAAACAAAGGATGGCTGTAGCAGAGACGCTCTGTCTGTATGCCTCTTTGTTTACCACTCCCGGTGAGAAGCTAGGCCATACTAGCCTCGTGCGGCTTACTATTAACACGGGTACGCACCCCCTATTAAGCAAGCCCCGAAGCGCTGTGCCTTGATGAAACAGGAGGTGATAAATACGGAGGTCGGAAAAATGCTTCGTGATGGCATGATCCGTCCGAGCAGTAGCCCTTGGGCTTCCCCTGTCGTGTTAGTTACTCCTTTGAACAGCCCAGCAACCTCCGAATAGCCCAGCAACCTTTGAATAGCCCAGCAACCTCCTTTGAACGGTTGATGGAGCTGGTCCTTCGAGGATTGCTATGAACGGAGTGTTTAGTCTACTTCAATGATAGGTTTCACTTTGACGATAAGGCGTTGGCCAACCTCCACCATGTGTTTAACCGATTGGCAAATGCCGGCTTGATGCTCAAACCGACAAAGTGCTCGCTATTCTGGAGAAGTGCCTCGTGTCTCGGACACGTTGTGACAGCCGATGGCGTCCAATGTGATCCTGAGAAGGTAAAAGCGGCAGGACAGTGGGAGGTGCTGCGATCTGTTGCGGACGTGCGGAGCTTCCTGAGATTCGCTAACTACTATCGGCAATTTATCTCAGGCTTTGCTACTACAGGGCACCCACTGACGCAGCTTACCCGGAAAGGTGTCTGTTTTCGATAGTCAGATAAATGTGAGGAGGCCTTCAATACTTTTAAACGGCAACTCACCTCTGCCCAGTACTTGTATATCCCCACGGGGATGGCGAGTTCATACTGGATACTGATGCCAGTGCCAGATGGAGATGAGAAGGTCATAGCCTATG